ATGCACATGATCATATTTTCTTATCTGCCAAGTTTTTCCCCTCTCCCCCTCCTAGACATCACCATTCATTTTAATGTTGGGTTTTTTAACTCCAGCTCAAATACAGCAGTGTTGCATGTTCTTGTTCCCAGACATTATATTATATATTAGCATTCCTTTGAAAGGATTTCGTTCTTTACTACTAGAAGGACAAGAAAGCCTTGAAAACAGGTTTGCTTATGGTGTCCAACTTGGAGGGATCTAAATGTGAATATATTAAGTGTTATATATTCAGGTTCTTCACTTTTAAATTAAGCTACTTGAACCCAGCAAGAAGTATAAAAACATAAACAGAGCAGTTTCTGAAATTCAAACTTCCCAGTTAGACAGGCCTCTTCACAGACCCTTCCCACTGCACAAACACTGCAGCATCCAAAGAGGAGCCTGTAGGGGCTCAAAAAAGGCTTCGGGAGTATTTAAGGCAGGAGATGAGGCTCCAGCTCTGGCAGTGCTTCCTCAGCATCCTCCATCTTCCTGCCCACCGGCAGGTCTCTGGGCCTTGCCATGGAAGTACCCCTTTCATTCACCTCAGGCAGTCAACCAGATTAGCTCGGAGACACTTTCCTCCTTACATTAAGCCCACCAAGGCCACTTGCCCAATAAAGTTTTGGGTGTGCCCATGTGGCCACACCAGCTGGCCAAGTCACAGGGGCTTCTGCTGGAGGAAGCCCCATCGCTGGAGGCAATGTTATGACCGGCTAACAGGCACACATTTGGCAGACTGCTGCATCCATCATCCATCGGGTGCACAGGAATGATCCACCTACACTCTCCTAGCAATGCAAAAATGCCCTGGTCAGAACCGACCAGGCTCTGTCCTTCACCAAAGAGCGAGGAACAAATGCTGAGCCACATCTCAGAAGCCCATGCAGCAGAACCTGGCTTGAAATCAGCAAGTTTCTGGCCTGAATCTGAACCAGGCTCATTAGTCTTTAGCTATCTCTGTCTAGCCTGGAGCATCTCACGGATGAAGGATATTCAGAGCCCAGATGGGCTTCAACAGTGAGCATTCTGGATCCTCAAAACTGTAATCAGTCCAATGGGTTGCTGTTGCAACTTTTGCTGGGTTTAAAGTCAAGTATTGCAAGGATAGGTATTCAGAGCCAAAAATCCCTTCTGAGTTAAAAGTAAACAGGGTCCGTTAAATCCTGTTGACCTTTTACTTGGAACCAACAGACCTACAAATATACTTCTTTAATACAGGAAAATTTGGATTCTGATGCAATCTTGTTACTCTCGAAGCATGGCCTAAGGCCACTGCACTATCACCGACAGAAGTGACCCAGTGCTCTGCTGGTGCCACATGGCCCCTCTCCGTTCTGTCAGCAGCAACTACAAGAACAACTTAGGTTTCACCACAATCAATTTCCCAACCTGGTGCACCACACAATCACAAAGACAGTGGTGGGAGCACAAAGGAGGACGTGGCACAGCATGGTGGCAGGTGTCCCTGGCTGGGATTATTTCCTTCAGTCCCAACACCAGCTCTTGCTAGCTTAGAACAACCCTAAGGCTATGGGCAAGTCAGCATGAAGGTGCTTCTGGTCACACAGTCACAGGATGGTTGAAGTTGGAAGGGTCCTCTGGACATCATCTGGTCCAACCCCCTGCTCAAGCAGGACAACCTAGAGCCAGCTGCCCAAGGACCATGTCCAGATAGCTTTTGAGTATCTCCAAAGATGGAGAATCCACAACCTCCCTGGGCAACCTGTGCCTGTGCTCGGTCACCCTCACAGTGACAGAGTGTTTCCTGATGTTCAGAGGGAACCTCCTGTGTTTCAGTTTGTGCCCGTTGCCTCTGGTCCTGTCACTGGGCAACACTGAGCAGGGCCTGGCTCCCTCCTCTTTGCACCCTCCCTTCAGGTATTTATATACATTGATGAGATCCCCCTGAGCCTTCTCTTCTCCAGGCTGAACAGTCCCAGCTCTCTCAGCCTCTCCGCATAGGAAAGACGCTCCAGACCCTTCATCGTCTTTGTGGCCCTTTGCTGGACTCTCTCCTGTAGGTCCGTACTGGTGCTTTGGCAGTCTGATCCAGCTGGCAGATACTGAAGCCTTGCTCCCTCATCTACCCTGGAAATCTGGAAAGAAGGCGGCATGCAGGAGAGCACGTGTCCCTTCCCAAAACAGGGGCTCTTTTGATCAATCAGCATGTAAAGGAGAGCCTGTCTCAGAGTGCTGTATCTTGTGTTTGACTGACTTCTTAGGGATCAGCTGTAACTACCAGCACCACCTAAAAAGTAACACATACCTCAATCTGAGACTAAAAAAATTCTCTGTCTTCTCTGGGTAGGAAGATGTTTGTTCAAAGAAACTCAACATACTCACTATAATTTATTTTTACAGCAGGTACACCAAACCAAGACAGTTAAAACACTGTCTCCAAAGCTCTAGATATTATGTAAATAAACTCTAAATAATTGCCTGCATTAGTGTGGTTCAGTGTTCAGCAAGGAAAACAGCTCTTGGGTTTTTTTAATTAAATTCTGATTTTATCTATAATTCTAGACTGTTCTGTTTGTTTCTTTACATGAAAAGTTATCCTGCTTGTGAAGTGCCAAAGCCTTATTCTGAAACTGTATGATTAACACCCGTATTTCCGAAAGCTACGCATCAAATAGATTTATGTGACTAATGACATAAGTCCTTCAACCGGCAGTACAAGCAAACTGAGCTAGCCAGGCACGTTCTTGCCATACAGACGGTGATTTCCAAACACTCTTCTGAATAACGGAGATAACGGCTGCGAGGATACCACTTGATACAGCCAAGAGCCATGCACTCGCAATGATCCCCAAGAGCTTTTTATGCACTGCAGGGTCAAGCAGCACACCAAAACACATGGCTCCAACTCATGCTCAGCAGCGAGGAGCAGCAATTGAAGATGTTGTCGTCCCATGATTGGATCTCCCTCTGCCTGCAGCAGGGCTGGTGGGAAGAAACCTGCACCTCCACCTCTGCTGCTTCAGGTCACAATCTGGCTTCTTGGTATAATCACATCTTTACCAGCAATTTAACCCGATAGACTCAACTAGAAAACACAAGACAGGAGACCCAGGTGCATGCTCCCTTCTGCCAGCTGGGAAGAGGGTGATGATGGGCAGCAGGATGGAGCAGCACCAATTCAGCCACCAGAGCCAGGCTGGAACAAGCTGGCCCCTCAGAGCAGATGCCCTCCCACGCTAGGACAAGACACGCCTGCTTGCTTTGACTACATTTTTTACATGGTTTTGGCCTTCTCTCCACTGAGCAATGATGCTGGTTGTCAGTAAGTTATCCACAGCGATCCCTCAGGATTTCTCTTCGCGGTATTATTAGCTTAGGCTGTGACTCCAGTTTCAATTTGCGGGCGATAACCATCCTTGCACAAAAGTCTCCAGCTGGAATAGCTGGCACCTCTGCTGCGAGCACCCTACGCTGCCAGGGAGAACGATGCTGTCCTTGGGCAGTGAGGACAGGTGCATCGCCGCTTCGGCCAGGATGATGCAGCAGCAGCACCTCTTGCACTGCAAACCCAACGCCCTGCCAGCCCACAGCTTACCAAGCCCCGATGCCCACCTCCAGCCTCCCAGCCACAGCCCCGAGTCTTTACAATAGTTAAAAAAAATGGTATTTAAAAAAAAACCTTCTACTGACTTGCTTATTTTTCATAAAAGCTGATTACTGCCCATTTGCTGCAGACACTAGCCTGCCTGTTTAAAAAAAATTATCCCATTGGCAGGCAGCCAATATACAAGAACATCTATAAAGAAGCTGTTACAGTTTATCGTGCAGTAATCCATGGATTAAAGTCATTAATAGCACTTGATGACATACTGTCATGACTCCAAAGGTGCTGTTCTGGCTTGCAGGATATGGAGAACGTAACCCCCTCACAAACATTTCCCCTGAGTCACTTCCTTCTAAATCTTCGAAAGAAGAAAAGAAATGAGAAGACCCAGAAGAAAGATCTTGCATTGCAGGAAAAGAAGTTATAATGAAAATAAATTAACATTTTCAAATAACACTGAATTTTCTTCTCATTCACACTGATGTTTTCACAGTAAGAGAGTTCTTGGTGAGTAACAGAAATTTTAATCTACAGAGCTAAATTTAAAAAGCAAGCCAAAACATTCCCCCATGCCCAAAAGACAAAGCCACAACTAAAACTTTCAAAATAAGACCTGAAATGCTCAATTTTGCCCCTTAATTATTTACATGAAATAAGCCTTTTCCTTCTGTTGGCATGAGAACACACATGTATCATCACAGAAAACACTGTGTACTCCCCAGATCCCATGGGGTCATTAATCTTCTTTTATGCAGTACACAAAGTATTTTCACAGAACTTTTAAAATAGTTTTCTAAAGCATGCCTGATGTCATTAGGAAGTCAGAAGTTGATGGCCTAACAAAACTGCTAAATATCCTCCAGAGGAGAGAATCCCTTCACTCTGTTCTAAACTTACACTGCTATCTGCACTATCCATACATGTAATTATGAATGCCATTAATTTATCTGAGAGTCTCCAATACCAAGGGTAAACAACCCGTTGTGTCAAAATTGAAGTAACGGATAGTCTTGTCTTACTTCTGTTGATTTAAACGAAAGAATCTGCATATGATTTGTTTCATTAGGTAATGGCCTAGTACTGTGCCACCATGTATTTTCATTTGCCACGAAACAATGATAATTCATAAAATGTACTCAGGAGAATACAATTGTCCCACCAACTGTAAGCAATGCTGTACCCCACAGTCTTTTGTAAACAACATATTGACACTGGAAATGAAAATCCTTAGAAAGAAATCTTTTCAAAGCTTCAATAAATAAAAGCGATGACAAATAACATTTATATTAATATACATCTTACCAAGAACAAATCACTTTCTGATTAACCTGGTTTAGTTGTAGCTTATTTCACATTTTACTGTCAGTACAATGTAGTAGCATTTTCACTACACATGCATTTTTTTTCTTACCTTTAAGGAATCAAAGCAGGCAATAACTCTCCCATTTTCAACCTGGCAACTTTTAGGGGGGTGTGCAAATTTGCATTCTTCATCAGAGCGTGAACAAGTTCCCCTCTGAAATTGCCTGCACACTTCTAATGTTAGCCATTTTGTATCTCTTACAGGAGCAACATTCAAAGCCATGATGAAAAGCTGATTTCGAATTTGTAAATTGCTGTCAAGTGAATTATGCCGAAGAAATTTCCAAAACTAATGACGAAGGGAAGGGAGGGAAAAAGAAAAAAAACCAACAAAAAACGAGAAAAAAATAATTTCAATTCCAATCGAAAAGAAAGTTTAAAAAAAGTGGGGGACGATTAACGATGTACAACGCACACAAAGCAGAATAAACAGAGAAAGTTTATCAGCAAGCAGTCACTCATCAATCATTAAGTCCCACTTGTAGACTTTTGGCTGGGAAAAACCATGCTCAGTCGCATTTCTGTCTGTAAAACACGTGGGCTTGTTGATTGTATCACGGATGAACCAGTTTTAAGCCAAGGTCCTTCAATGCAGTGGCACTACTTGATAGAATAGCAGTTCTCTGACGGTTGCTTGCTGGTATTGATTACACAAGAAAAGCAATGCAGTCATTTGTTCATGTCCCAGGAATAATAATTCTTCCTCTTTTTCTGCTTTCAGTTTCCCATCAACTAATTGGCAAATGGAGACAGCTGAGGTATCTTCCACCAGGTGTAAGGTGAAGGCAATGTCTGGCTGGCAAAGACGGGATTTTGAGAACAGAGGCGTAGCAGTCCTCGCTCATAAAAGTGACTTGGCAAAGGCACTTTTTAAGTCACTGACCTGACAAAACAAATACAGCATCAGTTCACATGCAACTCATTCAAATCAACATTACGAAAGCCATCGTCCCTTTTTATCAGATATCATAAACATACTGCCAATGCTCACTTTTATTTCTTTTTTTCCAAACAAAATCAGCCTCCTTCGTGAAGTTACGCGTGACAAGGGAATAACCAGTTGAAACACATATTGCAGTAATATTCTAGGCAGCAATCCAAAAGTTGGGAATGATTTAAATAGATGAATGTGGCAGACACGATAATTAGGCACGCTGGTTGTGAAACAATTCTATCTAATGTGTTTAGTCTCCAAAACAGTATACAAGAACCCGTTTCCATTAATTTATCATTTGGCCCTTTAGATTGTGTTACTACATTATAAGCTGTTACTTGTTATTTGTTCTTCCTTAGAAATGAGGACAGCAGTATTCTGTTCAGATTTTTTTTGTCTCTCCCTCTGTTTCTCGAGGGGAAACAAAAACAAAAAAAATTGTCATTCCAAAATTACAGGGGAAAAAAAACCTTCCATATCCAGAAGATAGAGTTAGTTTCCTTGTTAAGTGAAAAGCTGTTTCACAAAGGCTTCACCACTAAGTCATCATCCTCTAATGAGTTCTTTCTAATATGAAGCAGTCTTTATCTAAATTTTCCTTTGATTAAATTAGCTTTCATGTACCTTTACAAATACATGGTTCAGCATTAAAATCTAAGACTTAAATATGGAACTTAAGCTATTCGGGGACTATAAAATACCTAGGATATTTTAGAGCTAAACAGATCTGAAAATCAAAGGGTTAGATATTATAAATATTTTTTAATAAATTACCATTTTATACACACACAGACAGTGAAACTACAGATATGATGTTTCCTTCTATTCAGCTTCAAAGGAACACAACTTTCACTTTGCAGATACCAGCCAGAAACAGTTAATGGATTATTTTTGTGCAAGAATAAAGAAAGGGGGAAGGACTGGAATAAGTGAGGTTTTAAAATGCATCAATAAAAATAGCTCTAAAAACACTGACAGCTTTCCCATGCCAGAATAATTACCATTCTGTGCTTGGATTCATCTGATTTAATTTAAGTCACTATTGTTAGTAATGCGAGTAAGAATTACTCACACACAGTTTCAGGAACAGATCCCAGTTCTGACTTCTAGGTCTTCACATCAAAAGGCTTTGCTATTACTTACTAACGCTACCAGAAAGGGTTTTACTATGTGACTGATACCTACACCAAAAATTTGCTACCGCTAGCATGAATAAAGGTAATACAATGCTAATTGCTCAAAAATTCAGTTTCAAGTCCAACGTGTAATAAGATGGGTCTGGATGATACTTAGCTAGCTTTACCTGGTCATCAAGAATAACTACTTGCAAGAGGATTAGTACATTTTTAAATAATTCTGCACAGTTGTAGTATAGTACAGTACATGAATTAAATATTCCTCAAATTAAATATTCCATCGATGTTGTCCCACAGTATCAATGAAGAGTGAGGGTAAGCTGAAAACGTACAAAGAGGTGAGAAAATACTCATAACTGATGAAAAGGAAAGAGAGGGGGGAAGACAAGGAGAGCCTCTCCACAAGAGCTTGTTGGGCTGATGATTTAGCTGGCTAAATGTAAAAGAGAAAATATTCTCCCTAGAGCTACCCATTCCAATTCAGAAATGTCAGTAACAATTTTCAGTAATAGATGTAGGAGACAGACGGAAATTTTTGGAGTAAATGTTATATCACACGCTGCTGAAAGTCACAAGTAGTAATAACTCTGCCGGGCTGCATACTTCTAAAATTGACAAAGTCGTTTCTCGAGTAGTAGGTGTTAAGACTGAAGAAAACCAGACATTGGACATGGTGGCAAAGCAAACAGCACTAAGTATATAAATGGCAGTAGCCATGGTTTTAAGAAAATGTGCACAACAATCACACACGAGATTCGTGAGACTGCAGCAAGAATTAATACCGAAAAGCATTTGAGGGGGTAGAAGAGGAGTGAAATAGAGCATCATCCCGTTTCCTATCTTCTTACTACATGAACATTTTCTAAAGAAAGGGAAGCATGAAAAGTTCATCTCAAAAATCCACATCTCGTCGAAAGTAATGACACTATCTGATTTCTCTAGAGGTATTGAGTGCTTCAGCAGTTTCTACTGATGCAGGCTTAGGAGAGACAGAGCCGAGACCTTTCTGAAGGAGGC